AACTAGGAATTTATCGATCCACTACTCAAACGCTGTCTTTTATATCTCAAAATCAAATTCTAATCTAGTTCCTTTCAGTTTTTCGAACACTTCCTTTTCAAATCTCTCATTCAGTTCTGGAGTGAAGTAATTCTTCCATCCACCGACCACTCCCTTCCGGAGAAGCAAGGAACTCTCTTCGTTCCGAATCTTATAACTGATATCATTTTTCTTCATGTTCTTGAATGTACATTGCTCTGCAATACGATTGATGAGTTCATCAAATAGTGGCTTATTCAAAAAATTAGCAATCATTCGTACATGGAGCAGTAGATCCTAGGAGGAATTGAAATTTTCAATTTTGTTTTTAAACAACTAATTATCCTCTCCCCTTGTGGGGCTTTTCAGGGATGATAAAACAAATAATTCAAAGGAAACATGAGTCGTAAACGTTACTCCTCACAAAACATTGCCAGCGGCAAGGAGCAAGGAGAAATGGCTGTTTTCGCAGGCTAATTTCCCCCTACAAATTTCGCACACCAAGACACCTGAAATTTCAGCGAAAGCCCTGCCATGTTCAAATGACTTCCTGGCCTGTGTCAGCAAACTTTCCAGAGCTAAATCTTTTTCTAAAACTAAGTAGGTAACCACTGAGAGTATTACTAACAAAGGTTAACAAAATAACCAACCTGGCAACTTATGATCTCTTTCCTGTGGCCATGATGTCCTTCATTTCAGCTACTCCTCTATTGTTGGAGCCACTTTTGAATAGCTCAAGATCTGCCCTGACCCTGTTTACGACAAATCTTTGTTATTCTCTTCTGTCTGAAAAACAAAATAAAAAATTTAAGATTGAGCAAAGCTACATATAAGTGTACATGATAATTTTAGACTTCCAAGGTATTTTTAAATACAGTTGAACCTCTCCACAATGGCCACCTTGGGGACAGAGGAAAGTGGCTGTTGTAGAGAGGTGACTCTCTCTTAATTTGGGCACCACATAGCCGAGTAACGTACTCTGTAGAAATATCAGTCAAATATGGTAACCACGCAAACACCACAGCAGCAGTCCCTTCCCACTTTAATCAACCTGGGCACTCGATCACAGACATGGAACTTATTCTGCTGGAATAACCCACCCTCAGCATATCACGCCGTACAGGAAGGGAAGCGTACCTCATGGATGGCAAAACCCTGTCACCGATGGTCTGAATGGAAGAAATGAAAATTGAACTGTTTCTATTTCTATTTTTATTGTATAATCATCTGCCTGTATATTATTCTAGTATTTATAATTGTAGTTAATTATTAACCACTTTATGTGAATTTTAAATTCATATTTTAGGAGCCGGTAAAAGATATTTTCTCTCGGTATGGCTCTGGCCCTGAGGAAGGCTAATTTTGTTAGCCGAAATATTGGCCTATAATATAAATAAGCCCTTTGCCGTGGTGCCAGCCCTGCATGAAGTTTTGTGGATATGCAGTTATCCCTTTTATGCGCTTTTCTACCTTCAGTGGCTTTAAGAACGACAAATAGACATACTAGCCTGTATGCTTTTTATGCTGTCTTAAGACTAGTGTACATCAGAGTGGATACGTGGATATGCAGTGAATATTATTTAAAAGATATTTACTAAGTGGATACACGGATACGAGGATACGTATGTGGTGACTGAGTATCCCCGTATCCACCTTTTTTGGGAGGTTGCTTTAAAGTGGCAGGATATTCTGCAGTTAAGCCATCGCAAATTTCTGATTATTGGAGTTGCACACAGTATGACGTCATATATCATTTCTTCCCTATCAATTCTCAATACTTAAAGACGTGGGGGGTTGAAAGCCCTGCATGTAGCAGTTGAAAAATTTAAATTCTTACATTAATAAAAGAATCTTAGTCTCTACCACTTTTCTACGATCTCAGATGAGCCTTACCTTTATTTAACCTCCGGGCCGACTGACTTTTTTGTGCTGCTTTGTGTCAAAGCTTGTTTCCCGTTGCTGAAGTAGCACACTGCTATACACGTAAAGGAGCTAAACAACGACGAATAAGCCACTAGATGGTTAACCGTCTAAGCCACGGTGTTAAAGTTCAGTACAAACGGTGAAATCACTGTAAAGTTCAAGTTTTGAACACGCACGTTTTTCAGGCGCCATCTTAGTTGATTCTCGGTCCCAGGTCCCACCACAGGATACCCAGGCTCAGGGAACTTATTATGTAGCGAGTTGTTGTTGTCCTTAATATGCACACGAAGTTTCGGCAAAAATAGATTCTACTATGTAGGAAAGATGAAGGAGAGTATTTTTCCCGCAGCTACAATCTTGGACAAAATACATGTAGATGGAAAATTTGTCGCCCCCCCACTCCCCCGCTAAATCAAGGAAGGGAAAATGGCTCGTTTTGGCTTTTGCGCGGCTTCATCTTTGATTTTGGGGGATGGGGATTTGCTGTTCTATTTTATTCTGTCCAAGATTGTAGCAACTAGCAACTCGAAACTCGTAACTAGCAAATCTCAACTTCAGAACTCGCAAAATACCTAGACTTTCAAAAAAGTCCTTCGTCCGATTTATGAGGTCGACTTGTACCAAGTCTACAAAATAACCAGTCCCGATAATAATAACAATTGAGCTCTAGATAAAAAAGGGCGTCTTTCTAGACAATAAAAAAGTCCAAACATCAGCTTTTTTCAAAGTTTTTCCTAATATCTAATTTTTGTTTCAAATATGGGTAGAAATAATAATGATTACGTCCCTGGAAAAAATCAAAGCTTTTTTACATTATAAAATGTTCATTTTTTAAAGTTTCAAAAATCGAATTTTTCAGGTCAAAAAATTAAACGTTTTTCTTTTTTTATTTTGAAGAAAATAAGGCCAGAGATAATAACGATTGGTGTTCTAGATAAAAAATGACGCCTTTCTAGACTATAATATAGGCGATTTTTCAAAGTAAAAAAATCAGCCTTTTTCTAAGGGGCTAACCTATGATTTTGGTCAGAATTTCAAAGTTCTTTCTTCATCTAGTCTTGAAGGGAAAAAAGACTAGAAATAATAATGATTGATGTTCAAGATAAAAAAGAGGCCTTTCTAGGCGATAAAAATGGCCATATTAAAAAGTTCTAATATCGAAATTTTTCAACGTGGTTAACCCTTGGTTTTTGTCAAAATTTAAAGTTTTTCCATTTTTTAAATTTTTAAAAATCGTATTTTCCCAAAGGGGCTAACCCATGATTTTTAAAAAATTCATTAGTTTTTACCGAATGCTATTTTTGAAGGAAATAAGTCCACAAATAATAACTATTGATGTTCTAGATAAAAATGCGTCTTTCTAGACAATAAAAAAGGCCATTCTTGGAAGTCCAAAACATCAGCCTTTTAAACCATAATTTTGGTCAAAAAAATTTTTTTTTCTTTATCTAGTTTTGAAGAAAAAAGGCCAGAAAAATGATTAATGTTATAGATAAAAAGGACGCCTATCTAGTCTATAAAAAAGCCATCTTTCAAAAGGCCAAAATCGTTTTTTTTTTTTTTTTTTTTTTTTTTTTTAAGGGGATAACCAGGAGTCGATAACCTTTCTAGACTACAACAAAAGCGATTTTCCAAAGTGCAAAACCCGGATTAATTCATGGTTTTGGTAATAAAAAAATGTTTATTCTTTATCTTACTTTTAAGAAAATAAGACAAGAAATAATAATGATTGTACCCTGGGTGCCAGAGGCTTTTCATGCCTGGTTTCCGGTTTCGGTCAAGTCTTAAAAAGTGACCCGCGCGACCGAACACGTGTCAGCCTGAGGCCGACGAAAATGAAGCTCTCCGTTGCACGCGAGAAAAAACCTCTGGTACCCAGGGTATAATGATTGATGCTCGAGATAAGAAAAGACGCCTTTCTAGACTATAAAATGGAATTTTTTGAAAGTTCCAAACTTTACAATTTTTCAAAGGGGTTAACCAATGATTTTTATCAAAAATTTAAAGTTTTGTCTTCATCTAGTTTTGACGAAAATAAGGCCAAAAGTAATAATGATTGATGTTGCACGTAATAAAGACGTCTTTCTAGACTGTAAAAAGGCCATTTTTAAAGTCCAAGAAGTCAGTCTTTTTCAAGGTGGTTAAACCATGATTTTGGTCAAAAATTTTAAAGTTTGTTTTCATCTAGTTTCGAAGAAAATAAGACCAGAAATAATAATCAATGATGTTCTAGATAAAAAAAGACGCCTTTCTAGACTATAAAATTGGAATTTTTTGAACGCTCCAAAAATCCCAATTTTCCAAAGGGGTTAACCCATAGTTTTTGTCTAAAATTTTAAAGTTTTTCCTTATCTAGTTTGGGTTTAAAATATGGGTAGAAATAATGTTGAATGATGTTCTCGAAAGAAACAAGGCTTTTTTACATCATAAAAATAATCATTTTTTGAGTCCCAAAAATCGAATTTTTCCAAAGGGGAATTTTGAAGAATACAAGGCCAGAAATAATAATGATTGATGTTCTAGATTAAAGAAGCCATTATTTTGGTCAAAAAAATTAAAAATTCTATCATTGTCTGAAATTTGTCATTTATATACCCAAAAATATAAGAACCTGTTCAGCCTGGAAAGAAAAATAGGTTCTTGTACAAAAAAAAAATCATCCGGATGTTAATGGTGTGAGAAACTTCTGACAAAAAGTTTTCGTGTATACGGTTTCTTTGATTTACATTTCATCTGTTTGGATTTTCACGAGAAATATGTTTTCGATAAACCATTATGTATTAATAGTACAATTTTTCTATCATTGGTTACTTTATGACAATCTCTGAGAAATAAGAACCTATTAAGGACCTAATAAGCCTGATTTGTGAAAAACTACCCTAAAATATGAGAACCTGTTCAGCCTGACCTCAAAAATTCCAGGTTCTTATATGTGGGTTTTTACTGTACACCAAGGAAGAAATCTTTTGGAGTCTCACGGTGCAGCAATCAATAGAGCTTTTTTTATTGAAAACAGCATTAAGTTACAATAAAATCCTAAACAAGAAAAAAACGATGTGCTACTGCTTGTCCTTCTTTGGGGGCGGTCTGGAAAGAAGATTAAAAAAGAAAATGACAAATTAATAACAGGAACCCTTTGACAAAAACTTAGGCATCAATTTAGGTTTCTAACGAACTGCCCACCTACCCCTCCCCTAAGCCAGCATTTTGCCCTAAGTGAGAAGTAGGTGTTAATATTAGCTTTGGGAAGGGGTAGGTGGGCAGTTTCCCAGAACCTAATTGAACTTAGTTTTAGCTTACCAATTTCCTTGGTGCTTACAGTATTCAAGGACATAGGGTATTGACTGCTTCAAGTACAGTAAGTTTTAAGTATTTATCTATTGCTTCTTATTTCTGCTGTTGCATGCATTCAACAAAGAAAAAGGAAATACACGAAGGAGACATCTACACGCAAGCTACGTATCTAACACTTACCTGTACACTCCAACAACAACAGCATGGTCTCTTTCATATGGTTCCAGCGTTAACTGTTCCTGAGGTTTCATTTTTTCAGCTTGCATTTTTTTCACTTCACCAGCAAATACTGCAGCAGGTTCTGCCGTTGAATCGATGCAATTCGCCTAAAAATAAACATATGAAAATTTAAAGGGGTAGATACTTCAAGCTTGACTGTACATTAGGTAAGGTTGTCAAGTGTTCATAGACTGTCAAACAATCAACCCCAGATTTGATATAGAGATGCCAACCTCTGGAGATCTAAAATCTGGGAACCATTACCTTTGTAGAACCCCCCAACATCAACCCTGCCTGCGTCGCAGATGCTTTAAACGTTCTGTATACCACTATACAAATGGTTAAGACAAGTGCGTGGGCCGGCTGCAACACAGGCTACATCAACCACATCACATGGGTGTATTTCAGAACCTTATATACACAGTCTTATCCCGTATGATCGAAACCTTTTTCTGAATTTGGGAGGAAATGAGGTTAATTCTAAACTCACAGAAAAGCTCACAAATAAAATTTATCTGGGAAATTTGGAACCCCTAGCAGGAGGTTGGAATAATAACTTTTTGCCATTTCTGGGATACTGCCAGATAATAGGGGAGAGTTGGCCTAGGCTTGATTCAATTTTGCAATGGAGGCTTATATCTTGGGGGGGATCTTATTACAAACTGGGATCTTACTATAGGTACAAAGTACTTTACTGACCTTTATTGATATGACAAAATGCCCTCCATTTTTAAGGAAATTGTGAGCATTTATAGCAACGATACGAGCCTGATCAGGCTGAGCAACATCAGCAAAAATAGTATCCACCATGCCTAAAAGGTAATGAGATTAAGAGATCCAGTTAATTTAAAATGGTTAACCATCAGCAACTCGTAGGTTGAAGATTCATAACGTGTATGGATGATGCATCAATTTGTTTGGAAGAAAAATGCGAACTTTGGTAAAGTCAATAACCACCATAAAAATATTCAAAAGCTGCAGATGATTCACTGCAGCGCTACACGGTAACATTCCAATTCTAGCAATAAAAAAATGTCACATTTTGGACTGTTTTACAACAGCCAGGGGCAACGTAGCCAGCTTTTTGGCTATTTATAGGCCTGGCTGACTTTTATTTCCACATATCCTGAAAATTGCACGCATGACTAGTATGTACTGACCTCACAAACACCTTGAACTCTTAAGCTTTTTAGCTCACCCCAGCGACATATAATTTACTACAAGTGGTAGAATGATGCAACCAAAAATTTATAGACTGGGGCCTACAGGTCTATGGGCTGGCCATGCCCTTGAAAGCAAATTGACGAAGGTTACAATCACATAGCACCAGATGAATTTTCAACTGACTGAAAAATTTGACCGGACACTTCCCTCATATGGAACAGTTCAGTATCTTCACTCTTTTCACCAGGAACTTTGAACCACTAGGCAACTGAATTTTGGTACTGTTAAGGTGGTCCTGTGTGAACAGAACAACTAAATGCACAAATTTTCAACCTGTCGAAAATTGGTCCAGTGTTGTGTGAACATTGTCTTTCTCAATTCAGGTAATAAGTCAAAATAATATCGTTTTGTGTATCACACAACTTGTTACACTACAGGTGCTTACCCAGGGTGCAAAGAAAGTTAGTTTTACAGCCTGCCATTCGGGCAAGCTGTAGCTAGCATGTACTAGCCCACAAGTCATTTCAACTGGCCCCGTGGCCCATGGCAACCTACTTTTGCCTTGGGCAACTACATTTCAAAAAGCCACCATTAGTTGAAAAAATGACGTCTGAGCAACAATTACAGAAATTCCACACTGGTGATGTGTCACTTACTCAGATCTGGGTAGTGCTTCTGATTGGTTATACCACAAGAGAAATTTGCTTCAACCAATTGGAAGCAAATTGGAAGCACTACCCAGATCTGGGTAGTGATGCCTATCAGTATGGAATTTCTGCAGTCTTTGGTCACACGTCATTTCTGAATTCACGAGGAAACCAACAGTGGCTGTTTTCTCTCAGGCTGAGCTTTTCTTTCTTGAATAATCTTGTGAAGTTTACAACATTTTCTTTACTCACCAACCAGCATTCTGTACTTATGAGGATGTCTTGCATCTTCAATAATTGGTATAACGTTTGTTCTTTTCTTAGCTACATTAATGAGATCACGTCCCGATCTGTGAGAAAATTCAACTGCATACACAAGACCATCCTAGAAGATATAACANAATTCCACACTGGTGATGTGTCACTTACTCAGATCTGGGTAGTGCTTCTGATTGGTTATACCACAAGAGAAATTTGCTTCAACCAATTGGAAGCAAATTGGAAGCACTACCCAGATCTGGGTAGTGATGCCTATCAGTATGGAATTTCTGCAGTCTTTGGTCACACGTCATTTCTGAATTCACGAGGAAACCAACAGTGGCTGTTTTCTCTCAGGCTGAGCTTTTCTTTCTTGAATAATCTTGTGAAGTTTACAACATTTTCTTTACTCACCAACCAGCATTCTGTACTTATGAGGATGTCTTGCATCTTCAATAATTGGTATAACGTTTGTTCTTTTCTTAGCTACATTAATGAGATCACGTCCCGATCTGTGAGAAAATTCAACTGCATACACAAGACCATCCTAGAAGATATAACAAAGAAATATACATAATTTTGACTGATCTTCTCATTTCTGTTGGTTCAGTCTAAGAGCTAACCATGTCACATCAAGTTGCATCAATATTGTCAAATACACAAGCCACAAGCAAAAAAGAAATTCAAAATACATACAGGTACGTACACAATGCCTTTACAGCTAGTTTTCAAGAAAATCAGTCACCTTGCAATGTGTACTCGAAACCTTCATTTTACTCATTTTGACCTCTTCACATTTGAGGTGACGTCAGATACAAAAAACTCAGTACAGTGTATATCCTGGTCTCTGGCAGTATTCCAAACATTTCCACCATTCAATTGAATGGTATTTGACTCCTCAACACTTGTAGGAGCAGGCAAACAATTAATACAGGTTTCACTGTATGTGTATGTTGAATGCTCCACTTGTGTGTTGTTGAACATGTAGCATAAAGCAATTCCTTCCAAGCTAGCTGTAGTCAAAATTAACAAGGAAGTTCAGAGATGCTTAACGCTTGATTACTGTTGGCAACAGGGAACGAGTGAAAAGTCACTGAGCAGACACATCCACTAGCTAAAGGTTGCCAAGCATAGGAAAAGTTCTTTGAAATTGTTTGAGTGCAAAATAATAAACCATTATTCAGACAAAACTCAAATAAATCTTGGTTACTAGTGCACTTGTTTATCAACTAACTGCTCAAGCTAGTTAACAGGCACTCCATTCACACACATGTAATCACAATTTTAATCTAAAAGGAACAACCCATCTTATCTTACAGCGATGGGCTGGATGTGGCCAGTTGACTGTTTATGGGTGTGGCAGAGAAGTTAAACTTGGGGCTCGTGTGAAATACAGCTACTTCAGCTAGTGCTCAAAAGACGATTCAAACCTGGGGTTTCAAGATTGGGAACCCAGAAAGCTGATCTCTGGGCCACAAAAGCTGCGCTCTAAGAAAAATTGAAGCGAGACCAGTGCTCTGAACCTAGCTATGAAATCTACATTGCGCAGGGTACCCACCATAGGATTGGTATGTAGGACTCCTCCTACAAGCTCCAAGAGTTATTGCTCGCACGAAAGTTGGTGACTGCACCTTCTTGGCAATGGGACCAAAACTGTGGAACAGTTTTCCCTTAATATTCATAATGGGAAAATTTTTAATACCTTTAAAATGTTGCTTAAGACTTTTTTTAAACTGGCTTTTTATCAGATCCAATAGATATTTTGTAAATTTTTGATCATGCACATTTAACTTTTTATAGTTTTTTTGTTAGTAATATGCTTTTATATGTGATGCGCATTTGATCATGTACACTTGTAATTTGCACAATACAAGTAATAAATTTATTTATTTATTTTTTTTAATTTATTTTTTTTGGCCCCCAAGAGTGAAAGTAAGGCACCAGGGGCCACAGGGTGCTGCTAGGGGAGAGCCTTGTGACAAACTTATAACTTGTTATAAACTAAATAGAGTATGACCTTGAAAAATGGTTTTGATACACGTTCATTTTTTGTTTTATCAGCCGATGGATGACAAGATCAAAACATGGACTCTTTGTTTTCCCACCAAAGAAAACCCTAATATAGAGAAGGCATTGTTCGATTAGCCAGTCGAACAGTATGACAGTATGACATCAAAGCGAAGTATCAATTGATTTATAAAAAGTTCTCAGGCATGAAGTTTCACCCGCATGTTCACTTAACCAACCAATAGCCACGCATGTTAGATAAACCAATCAAACCGTTCTAATTCTGTTCCCTTGTTGTTTCTGTTTTGTTCGTGTGTTTTCATTTCAAGGTCATGCAAAAATCGTTCTAAACTGAAGTTAAAATTAATTTTTGGCAATCATACGGTTGTTCATTGTATGTCATACTTACAGGTCCAACAACGTCAGAGACATGAGACACTGTTGTTCCTGATGCCGCTCCAAGGTACAACACTTTGGAACCAGGAGGCATGTGAATTTTGTCAATTCCACCAAGAATGGCAGCCGCAAGCTTTGAACGGAAAGGATTCCAAACTCTGTATTCAATNCATGAAGTTTCACCCGCATGTTCACTTAACCAACCAATAGCCACGCATGTTAGATAAACCAATCAAACCGTTCTAATTCTGTTCCCTTGTTGTTTCTGTTTTGTTCGTGTGTTTTCATTTCAAGGTCATGCAAAAATCGTTCTAAACTGAAGTTAAAATTAATTTTTGGCAATCATACGGTTGTTCATTGTATGTCATACTTACAGGTCCAACAACGTCAGAGACATGAGACACTGTTGTTCCTGATGCCGCTCCAAGGTACAACACTTTGGAACCAGGAGGCATGTGAATTTTGTCAATTCCACCAAGAATGGCAGCCGCAAGCTTTGAACGGAAAGGATTCCAAACTCTGTATTCAATTTTTTCAGCATCCGCTGCACCCTACAAAATCAACATAGAGAGCAGCTTATGTCTTTTAAATCCTAAAACTGAATGATACCAATATACAGTGGATCCCCGCCTTATGGCCACCTCAGTAATGCGGTCACCTCGTTATTACAGCCACTTTTTCTTGCCGCCCAGCAAAACGGCCATACATTTTCTTGTTAGAAAAAACCTTGTTAATATGGTCAGCCGTTAATATGGCCAACTTTTTTTGGCCTACTGGTGACCGTATTAACGGGGTTCCACTGCAATGGTTACAAAGCACTAGTGTATGTCTAGTTTCAAAGCCTTTGTTAACTTCCCTGGTAAAACAGTTTTACTTGGTAAAGGCTGTGCTGGAAATCTCTTTATGTATCCTGTAGTACTTACTAAAATCTCTCCAGTGGCCTGATAGCCCTGGGCTAGTGGATTTTGTGGTCAGGCAAGTGAATTCTGTTGTTAACTTGCCCGACTAGAAATTGAAGTTTCGTGGGGAATTCAAATAACAGAAAAACCATAATCAATCCTGTTCATAAAAGATATTTTTGAAACGACTTTTGGGCTAGTGCAAACTGGCTACAGCTTGACCAAATGGAAAGCTGTAAAGCCAATTTTTTTTTGCACCCTGCTCTCTCTCTGTCTTACTAGATGCCAAGGGTTTTGTACAGTACATGCACACTGAAGAATTTAAAGGCACAAAATATAATGTGGTGCAAAAAGTGAAGTCAGACAGATATTGTATCCTAGAAGTTTTTACTTTATAAATATACCATTATTCTTACATCAACTGATATCCTTTTTTCACCATACACAGACTCTCCAGGTACTATATTCTTTGTGACCAACGCATCTTCCTTTCCACGTGCAATAAACACTCCTAAAGAAAGACATCAAACATGAGAAAGGCGTGTAAGTGACTTCACAAGTATTTTAGTAACTGCCCTGCCATGACAATGTATTCTCATACGCAAAAATCACATATTGCTGTGTTTGAAATTTTTGCAAATAACTATTAATAAATTTTAAATGAAATGAAATTTTTCTTTAGTTTTATATTAGAAAATACACGGCAGGTCTAAAAACTACGCTGATGAACAACTGTTATTACTACCACAGCAAAACGATTAAGCTTATTAGCAATTGTGAGATCACCACAACTAAAAGCAACTTGTGCTGTTTTTCTTTTAACAAACATTTATCATGGTACTTGCCTTCATGCCGATGTGGTTCAATCGTAACTTTGGCTCCTCCTTTAAATCCTCCACGTCCACCACCGCCTAGTTATACAAATACAAAAAAACTTAGCACCATATTACCTACATGTACTTATGACAAACAAAATGTATTAACAATGCTAGTAAAAATGCATTCTTTTGAAGTAAAATATGCGATTTCAAATTTCAGTTGAAAAACACTATGCATGGTGGATTTTGCTCCTAAACTGCAAGGCTTTCTTGGTTCAGGTGTGTGCAGAATACTACCCATCAACTATTCTTCTCTCCATTTTTCACTTCCCTTTCCCACCCTTTTCGCCTTTAACTATCGCCTGAATGTCAGCAGTCTCCTCAAGTTGCAAACTCCCCAAAGAAATTCCTTAATTTATAATAAGCTGCTTACGGGGGATCTGTTAGCCTGAGAAAACAGCCGCCGTTTTGCAATGCCACTGACGGTTTCCCGGTGAGATGACATCTGAGCACATAAATTCCATACTGATGATGCATCACTACCCAGATCTGAATAGTGCTTCTGATTGGTTAGAAATTTGCTTCATCCAATCAAAAGCACCACCAAGGTCTGAGTAGTGACGCGTCATTAGTATGGAATTTGTAAACTCGTTTCTCAGATGCCATTTCACAGGGAAACCATCAGTCGTGTCGTGAAATGCGGGCCATTTTCTTATGCTAGCTATCTGTCAGCAGTTTGCGACTTGAGCGAACAGTTGAAATTCAGGCTACTCTGAATGAGTATTTACAGTACAATGTACTTGGCTTGATATCTGTGGGAAAAGTTTCTTAGAAAAATGACAAAGACCTCAACATCATTGAAAGCAAGCAAAGGTGCAGAGTGCGACAAGAATCTCATTTGTTTTCTCTGATCTGACCTGTCTGACCAAGTTGTAATCATTTGAGAACAGTTTAACAGTCCTCTTCCCCAGCATAATGTAAAAGTTACACATTAAGGCTATCTTTTGTGCGTGACAACTGTGAGGTCAACATTGCAAGTTTTGGTACAAAAGTAATAGTTTTCCAGGCTGTGTACAGGCTGTTGAGCTGAGAATGGATTAATTCAAGCTAAGATGTTTGTTTACAGACAAGTCAGCTCCAATAAAATTAAAGATCTCATTCTCCATCATATGGTTTGAACTGAGACAGGCACATGTACAACACATATAGACTAAACAGTGTCCCTGCCATCCCTTTCTGAATTTCCTGGATCTGCCCCTGGAACATAAGTTAAACAAAGTTACAGGTATCAAACTTAGTCCGTCTCTGCCATGAAAAATGGTAATAATGGGGAAACCTACCTCGACCTCCTCCTCGTATACCGCCTCTTCCTCCTCTGCCGAATCCGCCACCTCTACCTCCGCCACCACCTCTGCCAAATCCGCCACCTCTACCTCCACCACCTCCACGGAAGCCTCCTGTTGACAGTGTACAAAACAAATCATTAGTTTTTTAGTCCAAAGACTGAACACCAAAAGTTAAATGATGTGCTCGTATTTAAACACACAGCATGAAGTTTATTAACTGTCTTGAAGTCTACTTATCAAAGGGAAAAGTAAATAATATTTTTAGAGCAGGCAGGGTTAGTTCAGTCGGTGCACTAAGCAGGAGGTCACAAGTTCAATCCCCAAGTGATGTGTACCTGGGTCTTACCCCTTTTTAAAGGTCTCAATAGCCATATTAAATAGGATGACACTGAGTAACTGCACAATTATTATTTGCAAACCAGCAGGAAAAAAAAAAGCTATGCATGCACAAGATGTTATGAAGTTCTGCCATGCTCTGCTAACGGGGTTATGACGATCCCATTGGGTGTGAGCTTTCAAGGGCTATCCATCTGTATACTATCAGAAAGGGAACTTCTAAAGCAAAAAAGTGAGGAACTAGTGATGCCATGGATTGCATCACCCCCAAGTCATTTCATCCTGGTAACTTAGCCCCCTAGCTAAGTAACCTTTAACATTGCCTAAAGAACAAGATATATAACATATTTAGATGACTCAAAAATAGGGTGCTAAGTAACTGAAGCAAAAAAAAGAGGGTGCAAAATGACTGGCTACCGATGGCCAAGGATGTAGGGTTTCCGCAACATCTACATGTAGCTCAACAACCACCCTGTTAGCAGAGCCTCCTTTTGTCTTGTTAACCCTTTAAGTGCCAGTAGTGACCAACAACAATTTTCTCCTAATAATATCAATACATTGTCATGAGATAAAGTTATGAGAATTAATAAAATGATCATCAAAGGGAAAATGCCATGATCGTTTATCAAATTCTCTTAAGCAATTCTTACAGGAAATGTATGGAGATGTTTGGAGAATTTGTATGAGGATATTGAAACTTGAAGGATTAAGTGAGAAGGAGAAAAGGAGACTCTAGCTGAATTGCGTCAAATCTTTGAAGTCGCCGCAGCCCAAACTTCTTGACTAGTCAATCTGGTTTTCGCGCATCAAACCAGTTTTTTCAAGTGTGAGCATTCTTTCGTTGATAAACTGATGATCATAACTGAGCTCGCTGTACCAAGTTCACGGCTATTAGGCCTGGGTTCGAACTGCATCCTAGCAACATGCAGTGAAAGCTCAACCAAGATCTTACTCAATTCATGCAGAGTCTTTCTTGAGTAAAGAAAGACTCTGCTGGCAGGGGTGCTCAACAACCTTCAACAAAATTTTATGTAGAGAGAATGCTGAGTCACATGCTGTGGATGTTTGACTTGGCCTTGATAAAATCTCTCTAGTTGTTTAAGAATTTCACCATACTCTATCCCAGATATTTCATATCTATCAGGAAATCGTGCGTGTAATAAAAGGAATAGTAAGCTCATGTTTCCTCGATCTTCAGCCTTCCAGAATCTGGAGTTGCATTGAGAACACGTTTTTTGTTCATGGAGATCAAAAATTCACTGCAAGTTTAGATCGTTGAAACGTGATCCCCGCATATCATTGCAATACTTATTCGTTAAAATGCACGCTTTGGAGCACAAGAAACAAGAGAGCCAAGATCATTTCGCCATTACTTCTTCAGATCACGTTGTAAACAACATGGTGAGCTACTACAAACCTCGTCCTCCACCGCCTCTGCCGCCACCACCTCGTCCACCACCTCGCGGAGAGAAACCTGAAAATGTGTTTTTATAATCAGCAAGGGACCAAGGTATTCAAATCTTAGCGTGGGGGTTAAAGAAGCGCAAGATATTACCTGGTCTACCCATCGTAAACTTGGAGAAACAAAACCTAAACGCAGACGCACGTGGTACAAATGCTTGCTATACACTACTACGCATGCTCGACTACGCACTGCATTGTGGGTAGTTTCTTCGCCGGTGAAGATTCAAGATGGCGCAGAAGTTGGTGAATTTTGGGCAAAGAATCGCTGTCGCAACACCTCGTGTGGCCACTAGATGGGGATTTCAAGCGCTTGGTAAGACACTTTTTGAGTCGCCGATAGTTTTGTGGTCATTTGATTCCGTTTAGCTTCCTCGTATGGCGCGTTTTGTACGTAGTATTGTTTGAAAGGCTAGCGGTCCAGCAAATATTAAACACCGTTTACACGCTCTCATTCTTTAATTACCAAAGTCTACTCAGATTTAAGAGTAAATTTTCCATAAAACAAGAACACATAACAACATGCTGCGCTATTTTTTTAATGGAAGTTGTCATCAGTGATCACAAACGAAAATTGGCAAATATTGTTCCTATTTCACACCCCTCTGATGTAATTAATGATCTCCGATAAGACTTTTTTTGCTACTGTGTATACTTCATGCAGGTATCTGTTTAACAGATTTCATTGCGCTGAATTTTTGTTCAATTTAAGATCACAGTTGTTGTCAAAATGTCAGTGGAGCATTATAATGTGTCCTCCGGTGTGCCTATATTGTCTGCCTGTTTTGTCTGTTTTCGGTAAAATGTCTATTTGATGAAGCATATATTTCTCAGGAATTTCTCATCCCGTTAATCTGTACATGTATAAGTCTAAGGGCATTTATTTAAAACTTGATTGGAATGTTATGGTAGTTTATACGAAGAAAGACATCACTGTATAGGTCTTTCTTGATAATCAGTACATTTTCTGCAAGTGGGCAATACTTAAAAGGTGAAAAAAAATGCTTACCTGTATTATTTTAAATTAAATCCCCAATTTCTCTTCCAGGTTTGGCGAAGAAAGCACAGCCTCATGCTACCAAATTTTGGAACAATGCGAAAGTCGAGATGGCACCACCAAAGATGTCAGATTGGCCTGCCATCAAGAAGAGCTTTATGGGGCTGAAAGATACGGCCCTAGCCGGAAAGTTTATGGATGTAACTGTAAAACAAGCTTGTGTCAATACTCTGGTAGCTGCTGAAATTGCCTTCTGGTTTTATGTCGGGGAAATCATTGGAAGAAGAAGTCTGATTGGTTACAATGTGTGAAAAACATTCAGCATGCACTTATAATCTGTTTTGTTATTCCATAACTGAGTTTGTTGAAAAGCCTATCATTGTTTGTGTAAAAAAATTGGATTGTGTTCAAGTACCCTATTAGGGTGAATAAACACTCAGACTGGTTTTGTGTCTGTTTGTCAAATTTCAATGTAATGTTTGCCTCTCCCATTGTCCCCTGTGCGCTTTCCGTTTTCCTCTCCCTAGTCTCTGTAGCTTCTCGTGTACTTGGTAATCCAAGACAGTTTTGGATTCTGGATTCCACGCTATGGACTTGGAATTCCTTATCAGTGGAACATGGATTCCGGATTTCAATATTTATAACAGGATTCTGGAATCAATAAGCAAAATTTTTCCTGGATTCCATTATGTGGGGCAAAAAAGGCCTCTCTGGCAAAGAGAGGGCTAGAAAAGTCCCTTAGGGTTCAGAGTCTCTTACTGCTAGGTAAGCAGTCCATTTTTCCACAATCTAAGACTTCAAAATTGACGTTTAGTTCACATCAGTCCGCATATTTCAAGATAAAGCAAGAAATCAACAACAAAACTTTATTTATCGATATATAACTCATTTACTAGCTGAAAACTGTTGACATATCAGCTTTAGAGGCCTTGTTCATTTTTATCAGGCATATATGAAGTTCAAGTTAAGCCAGTAGGCATATTTTCGGACCATATTTTCATATCCATCATCAACATCCTCAAGTCTGACCTAAGCCACAAATAGTCCTGTGGCCATGCTTCTTCTCATTCTCACTCAAACTGTGAAGCTTGCCATCGTGGTTTACGTAGCTTTAGTTCAAAACATCACCGTACAGCTGTTACACAGCTCAGAGCATGGTTTCTTCTGTATTGCGGGAAGATGTTCTTGAACCTTGAACCGTCTACAACAGACAAAAGATGACGATTTGAACTTTACATTTGCTAGCAACAAAAAGGTTTTGGGCCCCCCTCCCCCACCCCTTGTTTCTGTGCTGTCGTGTGAAGTTCTTTCTGGCACGTCGAAATAAAGGGACCCAAAGAAAAGTGGGCTTCTTTTCTCTCACCCACAACCGCCATCCCTCCCTCGCTGTTTTTCCTGCTCACATCTCATTGGGCCGTCCCCACGATCTCATGAACAGCTGGTACAGGCTTACAGGCTAGGAAATGATTTAGTTACCTCGTAAGAATTCTTTCTGTCTCCTCCGCCCGGACCATACAGACTAGATACTGATGGTCTTTGAGGTTTAACATAATATGGATTGGAAAACAAACTCTCCAGCTGAAAAAAAAATAGCAAAGAAAAACAGAGACCTCGTATCAAAAGTTTCTTATCATAATCAACGGCATTGTTCATAGCTTTACTAGATGACGTCACGAATATGATGACGTCATTTTACTACCAGCGGGTTTAGCCAAAACTCTGCAGGAATGCAGCCTAGCAAAAGCCTAACCAAAAGGGGAAAAAAGGAGGAGGAGAAGCAAGAAAAACGGGGAGCGGGGAAAAAGCGCTTTTTTGCTCTTGAAATGAAAGCGAACGTAACGCTTAACTTACAAACAAATTTTCTGGCAGATTTACATTGCTTTTCTGGTTTGCAGCGAACGTTAATCACGTGGTTACCATTCTGCATAAAAACAAAACATTTTGCGTTTCTAGCTTTACAATGAAAAACTTGAGAACGACTCACAAGAGTTGTAAATCCAAAGCCTTTCATTGTGCGGTGATTTATTCTGGACACCGCGTGAAAAGGGTTAAAGTGACCGCAAACGGTTACGGTGTGGTTTGGCAAAATGAATTAGGTGTAAACAACAAGCATTGGTTCGCATTCAAATCCTAGTGTACAGTTCTATTCTGGAAACAAAATGACGAGATAAACCAAGTAATTTTTCTTAGTGTTTCATGCCACTAAAACTGGGTCAATATACGATCTTGAACGTTGGGATTTATATTACACCTTAATTACAGATGTTATTTCCTGCAAGAGTTTAAGAAAGGAAATAACTGTGCGCCTGAGATTCTGGAAAAAACACCATACATTTATCCAACGGCCTTTAGCCTTACCTCATTCAAAGGCGTGCTTTGCGTTGTTCGTGAAGTCCGTCTTGGTTTTTTCTCTGAAGATCCTGTAGAATGGGAGGACTGGACACTAAGTTTGCGATCATCTGATTTGCTGTCCACGTGAGTGGANGAAAAAAAGGGAGAGAGGAGCGGGTTCCTTTTCTCTCAACCACAACCCCACCCCTCCCTTGCTGTTTTTCCTACTCACATCTTATAAGGCCGTCGCCACAATCTCATGAACAGCTGGTACAGGTTATAGGCTAGAAAAGTATTTAGTTACCTCGTAAGAATTCTTTCTATCTCCTCCGCCCGGACCATACAGACTAGATACTGATGGTCTTTGAGGTTTAACATAATATGGATTGGAAAACAAACTCTCCAACTGGAAAAAAAAAGCAGCAAAGAAAAACTGAGAGAACTCGTATCAAAAGTTTCTTCTTATCATAATCAACGTCATTGTTCATGACTTTACTAGATGATGTCACGAATATGATGACGTCATTTTACTACTAGCGGAATGCAGCCTAGCAAAAGCCAAACCAAAAGGGAAAAAAAGAGGAAGACAAGCAAGAAAAACGGGGAGCGGGAAAAAAGCGCTTTTTTTCTCTTGAAATGAAAGCGAACGTAACGCACAAACAAAGTTTTTTGGTAGATTTGTATTGCTTTTCTGGTTTGATCATAGACCTTTACAGCGAACGTTAACCACGCGGTTACCATTTTGCATAAAAAAAAATTTTGCGCTTCTAGCTTTGCAATGAAAAACTTGAGAAAGACTGAAGAGTGGTAAATCCAAAGTTTTTCATTCTCAGTTCAGTTTAACCTGGACGCCGCGTAAAAAGGGTTCAAGTGACCAGAGACGGTTGCGGTGTGGTTTGGCAAAATGAATCAGGTCTAAACAACAAGCATTGCTTCGCATTCAAATCCTAGTGTACAGTTCTATTCTGGAAACACAATGACGAGAGTAACCAAGTAATTTTTCTTAGTGTTTCATGCCACTAAAACTGGGTCAATATACGATCTTGAACGTTGGGCTTTATATTACACCTTGATCAGAGATGTTATTTCCTGGAAGAGTTTAAGAAAGGAAATAACTGTGCGTCTGAGATTCTGGAAAAACATCATAAATTTAGGTTAATTATCCAACGGCCTTTGGACTTACCTCATTCAAAGGCGTGCTTTGCGTTGTTCGTGAAGTCCGTCTTGGTTTTTTCTCTGAAGATCCTGTAGAATGGGAGGACTGGACACTAAGTTTGCGATCATCTGATTTGCTGTCCACGTGAGTGGAGTACTGTTTTTGTGCAGGTTTATGCACGTCAAAAGCAGGGATTGCAGGCTCGCTGCGTGATTTTCCAGCTCTTTGATGTACCTGAATGTCAAATTAAGGTGATGTTACACGAGACGATTCGCAACGACTATTTTAAGCGCAACACATGTTGCAACGTTGGAACAACGTTGCAACCATTCGATGCAATGTAGCAACAATGTCGTAACGCTGTGGTGCGCTGAAAATTGTCATTGCGAAACGTCCCGTGTAACATCGCCTTTAAACAAGCACAGTACACAATCATATATTGAACTGTAGAACCTAAGATCGAAACGTTACTAACAGCCATCTTTTCTGTCCCCGTGGACAGTCCATACATTCACTCTTCTGCATGGCCTCTCTGTTATGTCTGTAATGACCAGGTCTACACAGCGGAAACGTCTTTACGTCTTGGCCACTTTTCAGACAAATCGATATACGTACTGATGTACGGCAGGCGCTCCTGTGTCCTGTGTACCTTTATTTATGGTCGCTTTCTTTTACTGATATTTTTTGTCCTGAACCTTTTTTGGTGTCCGCTTATATATGGTTCAGATTGTGCTACGCATTGGTTAATAGCCTGTTCAAGGCTCTCAGATAGTGAGGAAGACGCGAAAGTGAAAGGTACTCGAAAAAAATGGCGAGGCAGGAAAAAGGAAAAGGTTCTTCCCGTTTTATTTTCGTGTTCGCGGACCCGACTATCTCGGAGCCTGAAACAGGCTAATTGGTATACCGCCCAAGGAAGCTTGACTGTACTTGGGTCAATTTGCTGTATGTGCCGCCAACCTTTCAGTGCCCCTACCCCATTATAGTCTATTCTTGAGTCAATTATAGACCCCATCTTGGTCATTTCTGTACAAATGTAATTTTCGCGATCCCAACTTACAGTTAGTCACTTTCTGTTTATGCGTCTACCTTATACAGCATTTTAACTGGGTCATCCTAAAATGCATTGACACTCTGATTTGGTAAAACGAAATTTAGTAAAAGTCTCCCGTTTTTAAATCCCTACTTACCATAATTTTCTTACCCCAAAAATCCCGAGAATGAGCGACCCCATTTTAGTAACTCTATGATAAAAGCAACCCCATTGTAGTCAATCCAGTCGTGAAAATGCGATCCCATCCAGCGGTATATCCCCATTAGCCTATAACTAGGAGGTAACCCCCCC